TTTATTGGTTATAAAAAACAATAAATGGTTATAAAAAACAATAGATATGATTTAGTGTGTAGTAAATAACTATTTTAAAACTTAAATGCTTTAAAAAACATTTTTGTCTATGTGGACATTTTAGATGGAGAAAAAAATGTCTAATTATATAATAAATTAGATTTGGAGTTTTGGGTTACTTTTTGAAATAATTTTTCTTTTTTGTATTTTTGGCAAATTCTCCCAACTAAATAAACCAAAATGTTTCTCCTTGATACGTCGTAAATCGTAATACGTATCCCAAGCCTTCTATTTTATACTTTTTGTTCTATGAAAATGTCAAGCTCTTTTTCCTTTACCCTTCCTCTTCTTCTTGGTACGATGCTTAGTATCAGAAGATTCAAACCGCTTTTCGCATAAGAGAACCCTGTAACTTGCGTGAGGTCCTTCAGCAGTTTCGCGTAAGCTCGTGTGCCACCTCATTGCGTTTCCAATCTCTTGAAGCTCACTCATCACGTTGATGGTGTCTCTTATGTAGACACGTCCTCCTGGTCTCAAAATCCGGTCCATCTCTAGCATCGTCGTTGTCATGTTGCACCTGAACAAGACCCACCATGAACAACATCTTATATAATACACCAAAATCTAAAAAGGTCCTTGATGATGACACAATTTTATTTGAATTGGCAAAAAGCAAAGAGGGTCGTTGTAACCTTTTTCTCTCGATGGAAAACAGACCCGCGGCGTGAAGCAAATCATAGGTTCTGGGGTAAGTATCAAAAGGTTCACACCTGAAAAGACAATATTTTGCATTCTATAATTCAGTTGAACAATACATTACATGGCCTCAAAAGGATTAAAACGAGGAAAAACGGGACAGCAATCGAAGACCATGGCATGGAATAACGATTCTATAAGTTGAATTATGGAGTAAGGAGTCTGCGTACCAATCGTGCATTACTCCTAGTAGTCCACGGTCATATATAACAGGCAATGTATTTGGCCCACTGACTGGAACAACATTGAGAACCCAGCAATCAACCTTTAGCTCAGCTAATGCAGCCGCAAATCTGCCAAGAAAACAAAAAAAACACAGGAATATGTATAGCAGCCATTTCGGTTTCATCTAATGATAGAGCATTAAGGGAAGAAAAAGTACCCGCCAAATCCAGCTCTCATGTCCAAGACATTTCTGAGTCCTATCTGCTTCCAGTGTAAGGCATTTACATAGTTTGATATTATTTCTTTCCAGTACTTTGATTCAGCCAGGAAGAGTTCTTTTCGGGCTATGTAAGAATCAATTTGTATTGTCTGCAGCCTATCCGGTGGGGTCTGTAAACGGGCTGGCCAAGGAGCAAGATTTGCTCCATATCCATGATCATCAATCCTAGTGATGCATGCCTTTAGATCTACGTACCTAACTTAATCACAGAGGAGATCTTAGAATCAGCAAAAGTGACAACTCCCTAGAGGTAACAAGAAGTTTCTGAATCAAACAAATTCTGGCCTAAGGAACAGAAGCAATGCCACCAAGTAAAGTTGAATGCTCAATTTCAACGATTGGGAACCAAAGCAGTTTCATGATTTTAATTTTTCATTTGCCGCTAAAAGAAGCGGAAAATAAGGTACTGTATGCAAAACATACCAAACACTATCTGGGTCATCCTCAGAATTGCACAAAGGAGGCATGACTCCAGCATCACGACTTAGATAACAAGTGTTATTAGTGGGCTTCTGCCAAATAGCTATATATCCTTCTTTCTTCACAAGAACCCAGCACAGCCTAGTGGTAAGGTTTAGCATCACTGAAAAAAAAAACAAAAACAAAATTAATCTTACTCCAAATGCTATTTGATGGGCACCAACTCTTATTCATCAGAACTATAACAAAGTGAAAACCATGAACAATAAATTAAATCGCCGGTGTAATGTAGGTAATAGTTCTAAGAGTTTCCTCCCAAGAAAATTCAAGAGATTGTAAGCCAAAAGAGCTTCGCTTACAATGCCTCTATAACCAAAATAGACACTTGCTGGAATATTAAGCTGCGTGGATGATACCTTCCCACTGTTCTTCCAAGGCCCTTTCATGCTTATATACAGGTTGTGCTGCCCAAACAAAATATCCTCCGGCACGAAGCATCCTATTGACTTCAAGGAGCAAGATTCCATCTTCATATCAAAGACATTGAAAATACGGGAGAATCTGTCAGTGGAAACTCAGAAACACTTGGCACTAAGTTTCAACAAAGTATACACGGTAGAAGTAACGGCTACAAGTTTGTTCAACTGACTTGGTTTAAGATTTATTCTACAACTTTGTAATAAGTAAAAATGGTGGCATAAAAGAATTGCATACCATCACGAGTCCAGTTGATTCTACATCTTGAACAATGAACCAGATCAAAAGCTTGGCTTGGGTACAACAACCGCCGTGTTGTAAATGCCGCCACCATTGCAGGAACACCACGCTCAAGAGCAAACTGTATCTGGTTCTCATGAACATCTTTTGGAGCCATAGACATAGTCAATACATTTCTTGACATTAAGTAAGCACCAAAACTCGCCACACCGCAACCAATGTCAAGAACAACTCGTGTATGGTTACCAAAACTAATATCCGGAATCATCTACATACAACAACAAAAACACAGTAACTTTTCAGATTCAAGAGAAGCAAATAATTTCACTTTGTTCCTTAAAACAAACCCAACTAACCTTAGAGATTTGATCCAAGTACTGATCAGCCCCATGTATAAACTGAGTACCACCACCAGGAAACTTGAATTTGTCATTCTCTTTGTATATCCAGTTTTGACCACCTTTATCTTCAACAAGTCGAGTACGTGGTACATTGTTGAACCACACCTATAAACAAAATCAGAACCTCTCACTGAAAACGGAAGAAATCAACACAAAAATAAGGAACAAAGAGCTTCCACAATACCTCATCACGGCTTCTCGGCCATGGAATCGGAGATTGGTAACCTCTAGGAATCGGAACGGTACAATTCAATTCCAATCCTTCTTTAGGGCAATTCCGTTCGAATCTCTCTCCACGCTCCGTCGAATTGAGCCTTTTGATAGCTTCTAGATTATCTAAACAAGGAATGTAATCCGTCAAATTCTCCGAACAAATCTCGAATTTCCTCACACTAACTCTAGCCGTCGTAGTAGCAGTAGACTCGATGTCACCGTCGCTACTCTCCGATTCCGTCTGATTCCCCAACGTCTCCGCCGAATCAGCATCGTAATCACCAATCTGGAACTGATCGGACATTGTTCCGTTCTCATTAACGATCCCAAACACTTTCAGCTCAACACTATCTGGCGGAGGCGGTGGTGTAAGAGGCGGAGGCGAAATCGGGTGACTCTCGTAAATCAAACCGGAGATGTTATAGGTTTTTCCGAAATCAGGTGAGAGAGCGACGATGGGTGATCGAGAAGGATCGGCGGAGAAGAATATGAGACGGCGAAAGCCATCTTCAGACCAATGCTTACCGAGGAAGAAGCAAGCGACGGAGATTAAAACTAAGCCGGAGATCTTGAAGATAGTGGCATTTCTGCTTCCGACGAAAAGCTTCATTTTAACTTCGGATTTTCAGAAGCATAATACTAATTTTGGTTTTTCGCAGAACGTTTCTTTATTTTCCCGGGATGTGACTATGTGCGTGAATCAGTGAAGAAGAATCCTCTAACGTGATATAATAATTTTTTTTTAACGGTCTAGACTTAAATTTATGAATTATTATAAATTATAAAGCCAATTACACGGACAATTATATAATAGACAATTTTAGTTTTCAATTTTTCTTCTATTATAATTTGTATTCTCCATAACTCGAGTTCTATATCGGTAGGTGTAGAAACATTAATGAATCTGCTGTCAAATCAAGAAGGGGGATTTCACACCTAATATAA